TTTCCCTAAACAGAAAGCTGCTGGGAAGCCTGTGGGTGCAAATTGGGGAAGATGAACAGGGCGATGCTCCTTTTGTGTCCTTTTTCATCTCGAAAATTCACATGCTTGGGCTTAGAGAAGCGAAAAAAAAGCAGGATGGAAAGGAACCATGAGTATAATTAATGTCTTACTCTTAAGACACTTCTTCACCGTGTCATGGCAAAGCCAACCCAGGGCAGGAGCAATGCTCCGTGGTGGCCGAGCAGCAGGGAATTGCTGGGAATGCTGCTCCAGCCCCATGGGAGATGTTTCCCCTATTGTCTATCCCACCAGATTTTGCTTTAAATTGCCCTGTGGAGTTTAAAGGGGGACACCCAGCTGGACCTGCAGCCCCTGGCAGCAGCACAGAGGAGTTAGGAAGTCACTAAGCTGAGCTGCCAGTGCAAAACCCATCCATCTAGATGATATCTCCAGCCATGCGGCTGCAACCCGGAAAATTTAGGAGAAAAAACCTGCAGAACAGATCAAAAAAACACCTGGTGTGTGGAAACAGGAGGGCAGCTGCAGACATGGAGTAAACCGGAGCTTCCAGCTCTGCCCCAACACCATCCCGTGCCGCTGGCATTTGGGAGCATCCAGAGGACCTGGATAGCCAACAGCAGCCTTGGGGGGTCCCAGGAGGGACCTCAGGGGGTCTTGTATGGTGGGAGCAGCTCTTACAGCCCCAACAAGTCGAAAAATAGCATTTTTGGGAGTGCTGGCGGCAGCAGCAGCTTGCAAGTGCCAGCGTTACTGGAAAGGGTTGGTCTTTCCGCTTGGATTTTCCCCGGGGAGCTTTGCAGACAGGCACGAACCATGGCCAAGAATAGTCACTGCCTTTCCTGCAAACAAGGTGCTGCAGAGGCTGGTTCAGCTCTGCGGGAAATAGGGTCCGCATCGGGAGCTGTGTTTGCTGGAGGAAGCGAGACGTGGGGCTTGCAGGGAGCGCGACCTTGTCGGGAGCTAAATTAATTCCAACCTGTCGGAGGGTTTGGAGCTGTGGGGTTTTACATTTTGTTTGTTTAATGTGAAAATAGTATCCCTGACCTTAATTCTCACCCAGTGCACAGGGCCGGGTTGTACTCAGCCAGAGGGAAATGCTGCAGAAGCCCCAAATTAAGCAAGGAAAACCTCTTAAAGCAGGGCTATTCATCTTATTATTTTCTTTTCTTTCCTTGTGGTTCAATGGAATAAACCCAGCCTGCCGCAGGCTTTGCTTGTCCTTACCCCAGGTGCAAAACTGTGCAGCGTAAGTGGAACTTCGCTCTTCTTGCCAAAGTCCCGCTGCTCTCCCGGCTCTGTTGCAAGGGATAATTCCGCAAAATCCTAAAGCGGGGGAGTTTTGCAAGAAGTTTACTCTGTTATTAATTGCTTGTGTGGTTTTGCTTGGCAAGACGCAGTGCTAGACAGCAGGGAAGAGTCAAAAGGCCAGTGCAGAGCATTGCACCGATGGCCTCCGGGTTGCCAAATCACCTACTCGGAGTGATGGATTGCAGCTCCCAGAGGCATCCAGGACTGGGGATTATTTAAAGGCCGGGGATTTTGCTTTTTTTCCCCTCAATGTGCAGACAGTGCCCAGCATGCCGTTACCTCTCGGAAATAAAAACTACTGTAATCTGAGAAAACCACGGGCAGGAACAGCTTGAATGTATTTTTGAAAAATAAATACAAGCAAATTATTTTCTCTGAGACTCTTTAGCCCTAATTGAAAAGTGAAAGGAAGCTGGATCTAATTTTGCATTTGAAAAACGTGTTAATCTCCAAATTCTACCAGTCAAAACCATGAAGGGAATTTCACAAATTTCACTTTTGCCTTGCCTTTTATGTTTGAAAATGGAATATGGTGATCACAGTGTGGGACACTTTGACCTCTCTAATGACTCTCTTTGACTCAACGAATCTCATTTTCAAACAAAAAGAGATGATTTTAGCCAACGAGCTGTACATTTCCTTCTGTGACTTAAGAAAATCTAATTCCTACTGAATGAATTCATTTGTTCGAGTCGCATTAACTTTGTGTGAGCAGTTGCAAATGCGCCGTTGCTGCGCTGAGGGTAACGCATCAGAAATGCCTTTGCTGGCTCCAGCCAACCAGCTGAGAAATTGTTGCGGTTTCCCATGGATCAAATAAAAAAGCATTCCCATCTGGACACTTTCCGCTATTATAGATGTGTAGTAGCAAATCTAATCTAATTAGTACGCTGTATCCAGTGATTCCCTTGGAAGCTTGTGGGGCAGGAGATGGATGCACTTCCAGGAAACCCTTCTTCGCTCATCCTCCCTCTTGCTCATGCAGGGACTGGATGCTAAAGCAGTTGGACTCTTGCCTGAAACGCATCCAGCTCCTGATGGAAGCAGGGATGATCTTGGGCATCCCGAGTCTTTCTCTTTCTCCATACTCTGCCTCCCTTTGCCCATCAGCCCTTCTCAGCTTTTTGGCTCAAATTGCACACAAGGTGCATCTGGCTGCAGGCATCCACATCCAGGTCTTGCATGTTCCTGAATTAGTAGGTGAAAAGCTGTTGGCACCAGCTGCAGCCCCATTAAAGGAATAACCAGAGCCAGACAGAGCTATGTGACCTCCAGTTCCCATGATCTGAGGAGGAGGAGGAGGAAGAAGGCAGAGTTGCAAGATCAGGTCCTGTCCAGCAGCAGGACCAGAGACAGGAGGTCCCATCCCTGCTGCTATTTGGTGGGAGAAAAGGCACAGCAAAAATGCCAAGCCCACGTAGGGGCTACTGGTGAGAGGAACCAAGTCATTGCAGCTTGATGCTCAATGCCCCAAAACTGAGGGGGTAGCATGCACCCCATGCCTCAAAATGGGGTGAATTTAACCCCCATTGGGTGGATTCTGCCCCGAGGTCTCAGCATGTTGCTCCAGATTTTCTCTGCTTGCATCCCCCTGCTCACAGCGACCCAAGGGACCCTTTTCCAGGCTGGGGGGACCATGCAGTGACAGCCTCTCTCATGTGTCCCCAGGTGTCAAGCAGGGAGGAGAAGCACAGCAAGGAGAGCGAGGACGCGTTCAGCCAGCTCCGCTCGAGGTCCGAGCACATGCAGAACATGTCTCTGATCCAGTTCATCAAATGTAAGTCAATGCACGGCCCCACTCGCTGCCCTGGACCCGGGAGGAGATTCCTGCTCTTGCGCAAATGTCCTGGTTTTGGTAGCAGACCTGGCCATGCACTGTCTTGCTGCACACAGCTGATGCTTCTCATGGCCCTCATCTGAGCAATTCGGTTCAGTTTGTGCAGGATGCACTCAATCCACTTCAATTGGCTTGTTTAGAAGCCATCGGCCTCTGAAAATCATCTCAGGCTGAAGGGAATCAGCTGGGCTTTAATCCACGAAGGCAGCTGCTAAGGGTTATTTTCAAGGAAATACTCAGCTCTTTGGCAATGACCTAAGAAAAGCGATCCTCTGACATTAACCCGAGTTAAGCTGCAGGTTTTCTATTGCATGGGAATGGATGCAATGGTTGGATGGGATTTCCAGCCAGGATTTGCTCTTTGCTTTGGAAAAAATAGCTAAAAATGAGCTACCTGCTCCTAGGCGAAGACAGATCCTTGTCTCTACCACAGTGCTGAGTTTCAACTGAAGGTTTTCATCAAGCCTGCTGAAGCTGTGCTAATATTTCCCCAATTTTGAGTATTTGTGCCCTAAGACCCTACCAATGCCCCAGTGTCCATAACTTCTGCCAGCAGAGCAATCCCCCTTGAGACACCTGGGAAATGCGTTTACTTTGCCCTCCGTTCCCAAGAAAACACTCCCTGAAACTAGAAACAGGGCGGTAGCTCCTGTGCAATGGTGCAAGCAGAGATAACGTGGGTGAAATCAAAAAACTTCAGTCCTAGCTCATTGAAGGGCCCCATGAGAGAGAGTTTTGCCCCCAGGTTTGTGATCCCCCTTTTTCTTCCTCCCAGTATTCCCAGCTCTATTTTTCCTGTGTTTCTTTATGCACTGGTTTTCCTATGTTTCTTATGGTTTATGAAAACAGCATTTGGAGATTTTCCAAACTGCATCACCTTCGATTTTATACTTTGGGTTGATTTAAAACAAAACATACAAACAAAAACCATTTCCATGCATAGAGGACCTGCTCTGCAAGCACACAGGAGTGTTAGGAGACAGGCAGTGCTATCCCAGCAGAAGATACCAACCAAAGCACTTCCCTTTCCCTCATCTCTTGCAAGAGAAGGAGCAATTGGTTTAATTAGCTCGTTGTTATACCAGTGGCTCTTCTCTGTCTCATGAAAAACAATCTGTTTTTTGGCAAAGGGCTGGAGATGGCAAAGGGCAAGGAGGAGAAGTGGTTTGGACCTCACCTGCTTGCTGGTCCATCTCAAGGAAAGCCATATACCTGGAGCTACCTGCAGTGTTGGTGTCACCTCTGGGATGGGAAGGGTGATATTTTAACTTTGAAAACTGGCTTCGTGCTTTCACATGGGACATCCAGGATGGCAGGGCTGTAGGATGGCCAGAAATTTGAAGGAAAATAAGGAATAACCCACCTGGGAGGAAGGCAGAGAGCCTGGACTGCTTTCCTTCCGGAGCTGATGCCTGGTGAAAAGGCAGTTGCCTCTCTGGACCTGGCTGGAGCCAAGGGGAAATTCCAGGTGTGGAGAAAGATGCTGCTCAGGCTGTGATTCAGCAAAGGATTGAGGCTGCTCCGTGAGCAGAGTAACAGGGAGAAATGTTTTTAGAGCTTTCTTAAGGGCTTGGCTGAAGCAAGCCTTAAATTACTGAGTTGACCTGGAGGAGAAAGAGATGCTCAGAAACGCTGCTTAGTCACATATTTCAGCTCAAATGATATTTCAGCTCAAATGATGCAAGATGAAATGTGATTATGGAGGAGGAAATGCATCGTGTCGCTTGTTCTGCTGCTTCAGTGCACATGGACATGACGGAGAGCAAAATCCGGCTTCAAGG